TGTTGCACGGAAGGGATGTCTCAAATCGTCAGGTTTGCGGGGTTATCAGGAGCAGTGGCTGTTGCGGTTGGAGCCTATGGAGCACACGGTTAGTTCTGCATCTTTCTATTTGTGTAATTATTGCATGGATGTCTATAACTGTGCATGAATCCGGCAGTTTCTATTTATTATAAAATGGAGTGAATTATGCCCTCGGTTTGATTACCTTATGGAACTTATTGTAATAGGAATGCTAGCCTTATTGGACTTTGTAGCTCCACAGAACGTTTTCAGACCTGCGACAGATAAAAAACTTGGAGACAAGGGCAAACAAAGGGGCGGGACGAGGAGCTAGACAGCCTCCGCGCTCAAGTAATTCATGGTCGTGCTTCCTTGTTCAAGTAGTCCAACTCCTAAGAGACTGTCTCACTCACACGCCCCAGACGACTCCATAGGAGCGTGTTACAGCAGCTCAGTTGTTCTTTGTTGGGGCGGCGGGCATTAATCGGAATTGCATGTCCTTTTTGCTGACCGCGCTCGTGCCCATAAATAATTCTGCTCTCCTTTATTACATTTTATTCATTAGGAGCACATACAGTCAACTGCAACCCATCTCGCAAGGTAAAACGCGTAAAAATCACGAATGATGGAATTTTCTTGGTGCAAAAGCTCGACGCACTATTCATACGCCGAGTTTTTGAAAGTTCCTTTCTTTTTCTAGAGCTTTCCGTCGGGGTTTTGTTGTTTTCGTATTCTTTTCTTTGCATTGGATGATATCTACTACTGGGAGATGCGAAAAGCGATTTGTGAGCCAGGGGTTGCACAGAGACTGTAGGACGGTTTGACTTCAGGGAGCTATTGTGTTCATAGTATTCTTGAGGACTCCTCTTGCTTTTTCCTTCTTTGAGAATTACTTATCAGCTACTGTTTCATAATTGAAGAGCAACTAACCATGACACTTCATGTCTGTAAGAAAACCTCAGGAGGCCTTCATCCGTCGGCAGCGTTTCGAGCGTTTTGAGCGTCCGCCAGTTTCAGCAGTACGATACATACACTTTCTTAGTCGCTTATGGAGCTGAGAACACTGGCGGGTGCTCACAGCGCTGAATTGACACCCATACTTTCCTATTCACTCAACACGCTGCCCGAAAATATGACCGCACTCTTTCGTGGCATTCCGCGGAGTATATGATGCTGGGAGATTGTATAGGACCACGCGTCCCCCACGGCAATCTGTAAACACCGCGTGCTTAAATGGAGCGTACACTCAGCATAAACTCATTGCAGTATCAAATTAAATTGTTTCTCTTCAGAGTCCAGCCTCGCTGTTCGCTCTGATAGGGTCTGGGTTGTCATGACCGTCAGATTTTATTTCATACACAACTTCGGGTGTTGCCATGACCGTTAGATTTCACTTCACACTCAACTTCGGGTAAGTACATGTCAACTGCAGTGCAGAGAAACCTGAACAAATCCTACTAGCGAGTTAATTTAGCTTGCCTGCTGACCTCTCATCGTTTGACTGTCACAATGTTTTCTGGATGCCACACTTTCAGTCTCATTGTCATGTAGTATTGCTGGGGTACGAGGGACTGTCCTGTTGCGAAAAACAGCAGCGAAATGTCGCTGTCGCGATAACAAAACCATCGCGAGAGTGCGCCGATCGTAACCATGATGTTTGCGACTGTTTGCAGCAGTCGCGCGCGACGCCGCCTGGTCCTGCGGTCACATACCCGAATGTCATCTTCATGATCAGGACATTCAAGTACTTTGTTACGAAATTTCAGCGGGACGCTTAGGCTGTAATACGCGAATGTTCATTGAAATGCTTTCCCTTGTTTAGCTGTTCATTCTTGCAATCTTGTTCGCTGCAGATGAATGAGCGTGTCAACGGTGTGGGTTGGCGCGGCGCCAAACCCCTTTTCCTCCAGTTTTTGCCGATTACTCGCTTTAAAACTGGTGGTGAACGGACGCAGCGCCAAATCCTTCCCTTCCTCACACACCATCCGCAGCGAACAGGACTGTACTCGCACTCGAGTACATATTTTTGCTAAAGGTCTCAAATTTGTTGTTTCCTTAAGAGTGGGCCACTGCTGCATATTGACACCGGAGCAACATCGAAGGCTATATTTTGTTGTGGCTCTACCTGCTCTGGTACGAGAGGGAGCCTCAGCGGCACCGGTGACTGTGTATTTCCCTAGGGCCTTTGGTTCAGTGGTATATGCGTTTATTTAGCAAGAAGTCTACCAGTACTGCCTGAATTTCGCTTTTACGTGTGTTTCAATGGATAGTATGTGAATACAGTGAGCCGTATAGCTAGGTAATAGTGACGTTTTCTGCATTGGCTCCAATCAGGGTACAGCATGGGAGATGCTGTCAAATGCGGTGTGGGTACGACCCCCCCCTCGAAGAGGGTCCAGACACGACCCCCTCCCCCTCCTGCTCTAACTGGCAACCAGATGCATGTTCACCACAAATGACTTCCCTGCATAATGGATCGTGGGATTCTGCGAAAGGCCGCACCATGCAATATGAGGCTGAACACAGCATCGACGTTAACTTACGAATTTCTGTCTTAGGATTCAAAATAAAACTCCTCGTTTGATAACTATGTATGACATGCAACTTGTAACAAGGAAACACAATTGAAATAGCGGCTAATGGTGATCATTGATAGGCTGAATTGGTGAAAAAAATAGCCCCAAGGTGAGCGTGTCAGGGCCCAGATGTGCATTCAATGAATGGTGACGGGGAAATAATGAAAACATTTACGACACAACAAAGCGAAACATGGAAAATACAAAAATGCAGAGCTAAATGAAAAAAGGATAACCAGGCCGGCAGTAAATCGTTCCATACTTGGCTATTATCGATCAGGCTGCAGGGCGCAAGGCTGCGACCGCTTTCTTTGGAAAAACGTCATTGGAGCGCGGTTGTTGGACTTGCCAACGTCCTGGGGTCTGTTCGGGGGGGGGGGTTATATCTTTTTAGGTGCGGAGAAGCCTTTTCGAGGAATGACCGTGAGCCCAGCTGCCAACGGGACAAAGTTTGCTACTGTTGTGTATTCTACCTAGTTGCAAACTGAACAATCCCCGTTGGTGAAATATTCCGGATGGGTTTTGGATAGGCTGGGAGTAAATCGCGAGCTGGTTTTCCCATGTCTTCCACGCGAGGATTGCCTTCGTTGCAAACGCAATTTATCAGAGGTTGTAACAAACGTCCTGAAACCCTCCATCCTTTCTGCTTTCCAACAAGCTAACGATTTTCTGAAGACCCCACTAGTTAGGGGCAGATATATTTTAGATGGGTTACCTTTGCGCTACCCCCTGGAGCACCCGAAAAATTGACTCCTTATGTGCCATTGTGAGGATACACCTTTCAGTGTGCCTCCAAAATACATATTTCCCTTCAAATGAGTGGAAGAGGAGCTCGGCTATCACTAATCGGTTTGGTCCGTGCGCCGTGCATTAGGCTCCTACGGAGAGGTGGTGGAAAGGTGTAAATTCTAATTTCAGGTGCTTTTATCCATGCAAGCAGATGTTTGTTTAGGGTTTTGTAAAGGACAACACGCATATTTATTTTGTTTTGAGACGGTATCATTAGTCAATCTACGTACCATACGAGCTTCCTGCTTACAAACTGGCACACTTATTTATTTATAGTTTATGTGATTTATTCTTGCTTATTGATACAGTAAGTCTTTATTATTTAATGTGATCTCTATCTTACTCCGGGGCTTCTGAAGCTTTCGTCGTTCCATATACTCCTTCACAACTATCAGAACTTAAAATGTGCGAAGCATCGCTCGGGCTGTGACGTGACCCTTGAGAATTAGACCCCCCTCCCAGCGGCCATTGTTCGCGACCCCCCTATGCGTTTCGCACACAACGATGCTGTACCCTGACCATAGGTGTACTCGCCTCCTAGTAACGCACTATCTAAGAGAGCGTTCAGACTCCGCGATCGCGCGATCGGATCACGCGATTGGGATGGGTGAAATTCAAACAGAACGGTTAATTTCAGGTAGGCGAGAAAAAATATTTCCGATCAAATAAGGACCTATTTAGTTACAGAGACGGCACGACTGTATCGGAATGGAAAACAGAATGCCTAGAGTCGTTCAGTTTTCACCTACAACTTTATTCTGAAGCTGTGGATAGCGGCCTGGCACTATGGTTCTCTCGTACTCTTCTCGTACTCTTGCTATATTTTGTTCAAAAAATTATGCTTGTCATCATTCCTCGTATCGCAAGAAACCAAAGGAAGCAAACAGACAGTGGTGAAGGCTTAGCAAGGAGGCTGTACTGTCATCAGAACTATATATAAGGAAGTGGATAATTAATCGACAGAATTGAGATGGCGGGACTTGTTGAAGCAAGAAAATGCACATATTTTGTTCGACCATTTAATCGTTTTCGGGGAAGACTCGTGACATTTTCATCTGGGGAAATGCTTCAAGAAGATGCCTCAGTAATGTCTAAAGACTCCACTGCAATGTCATGAGGAATACTGACCCAAGAGCAAGCAGACTATTTTGATGAGCGTTGATGAACCCGATTAAACAAGTGCATTCGTAAAAAGAAAAATGGGCACTATTGAACTTTTCCCCAGTCTGCCGAAATGAAGCCAGTTGTAAAATTCCGAATCTGTGAAAAAAGATCGAAAGGCAACATCAAGCGTTTTTTCAAAACTCAAGGGGTTTTGCACAGGAAGCGAGAAGGAATAGAAAAGAACAGAAAATGAAATGAACAAGTCATTGTTGAATGCCGCCCGCTGAATTTCACCCATCCCAATAGTGCGAAATCGCGCGATCGCGAAGTCTGAACGCACTCTAACGTGTTTTGCTTGGTGAATACGTTTGCTTCTCTTGTCTAATATCGCGTTCGGACTCTGCGATGGCGAAGCCTGAACGCGGTTTAGGTCATTCCCAACTCGATAAAATGCCTTGACGGCCTTGTGCTTACTTTTAACTACTACTTTTGGCAGAACATTTTAGCATTACATTTGTAAATGCTTAATCCTTGCTCTTTCTAGTGATACGCGATGACGATTCGATAGACCTGAGGAGGAAAAAAGCATTCGAAGTAGGATCGAGATATCATCTTATTCACACCTTAGCTTTATTGGCTGCTCAACGTGCGCGCTACCCTTTGGTAACGAGCGCAGTTTTTGCAAGTGAGTAGATTTTCAGACATTTCTTTTTTTTTCTTTCTCAGTAATGATGCAGTACCTGCCTCAAATCAATCTCCCTGGATAAATCATTGATCAATTGCAGGCGGGATCATAATGTTCTGTGGACCATGTTATCACTACAGCCTTACTGGCCAAGAATCGACTCGGCGATTCACTCCTATCGGAGGAGTCCTTTTCATACTAGGATGGCTGACATTTATGCTTTGAGAAGAAAACGGCGAGCTTTTTGTAGATTCAAATGTAGATTATCCTTCTAGTTTGCTCACACAGAACCTTCGTTTATGTCGTCACCCCTGCGTATTTATGCTCACATTCCAAATGAAGGAAATTGCCTGGCATTTAGGCTTTCGGGGTTCGCTTGTAGTTTTCATTCCAAAAATTTTTGTTTCTCTAGTTGCTTCTAGTCTTTAACGGGCGTTTTAATGGACATGGCGCAGTAAATAAACCAAATTGCAAAATTGAACTAGTTAGCTATTCAGTTTCACTTTGGGAGGTCACGCGGGCCCTACTGTTCCCGCTTTCATGTATTATTCTTTTCAGTGCTATTCAACTATTATTATCCCAGCGATTCTTTTTTGGCTGAAACTCTCCACGGGATGGGGTAACCCATTGCTGTGGTCACGGTCGCATTAGCTTTTGACCCTGGCGCCATTATCTTTCTCTTCAAAATAGGTGTAAGCTCGCACACAGGAGTTGTTCGGATGTCCTAATGACGGGTGTGGTAAGCGTCGAGGGAAATCGCTAACCACCCGCCTCGCTGGTGACGGCACCTCAAGTCTGTTTGGACCTTTCGGCGGGTGTGGACTCCTGGCTGTTCCGTGGCAAACGGTGTGCTGGGGCAGTTAGATGAACACTGCAAAGGGAGACAGTGGTTTTTCTGGTTGCCTGCGATAGTGTTCTTTCTCTTGCTAAGGCTTAAAGAAAAAGGATGCTGAGAAAGGGATCATACTTCGGGGACAGGATGCAAACGAACGCAGCAGGCTCCGCTGTCAAGCGTACTCCCTGTCCTCTATGCCTAGATCCATGGGCACTACATGCAGTTCATTCTTGTTTAGGAGGTCATATTACCCTGTAGGACGAGTTTTCCGCGAATTTAATGATCTAGGGCTAGATGGCGCCGACGCCTGCGGCACGAGCGGCGTACAGTTTCGGGGCAAGCGGATCTGTATTCGTGTTCAGGAGGACGAACTACCCCTGGAAACAAAATATCAGCCAAATCTGCCCTCGTAGATCAAAGGCGTAAAAAGCTGGCCTGATTTCGGAAAATTGCTATAGTAGTAGCTGAATAGTGCCCTCTCTTCTTGAACGGTATTTCCTGGAGTGACCGGACGGGAGTTGCGGCCGAATATCATAGAAATAACTGCTTTGGTATGCTTGACTGTCAGTTTTTCATTCATTGGAACGATGTTACTTACTTCAGAGATCGCTCGTGTTTTCTAATGTTTATATTGTCTTAGTTGCCTAGTCCAAGTTGATACTTTGCAATAAATAGTTTAATAAACTGTAAAATATAGAATTTCAGTTATTGTTCTTGATCGGATCCTGATTCGTACTCATTTTCACAGTCCTCGTTCCTTGTATCCCGCCTCATTGCTTGATCTAGTATACCTGCTATTTCAGCATCCTAAAATTTTTTTCCTCGGATGATATTGAAAACAACACAAGTCAACTAATAGAGACATAAGGCACTTTGCGACTGAGGAGATTCGGCGATTCGGGAGACTTGGCGATTCTAGAGATTGCGCGACGAAGCATAGGTGTCGCTCTGGCGATTTCGGAGATTGAGCGATCCGGCGATTCGGGGACTCGGCGTCCCAACGATTGCGCGTCAAAAGAGTGGATGGATATCGAACGGCGTCGGTTTTCCAGCCACTGCGGAGATTCGGTGATACGGTGTTTGGGAGATCGCCGAATCTCTACGCATTGCCGAATATCCTCAGTCTTAAAGTATGAACGCAGCCAAATGTTTGAGTTACAAAAAAAATCACACGCCAACCTTTGCCACATCGATGGGTAATTTTTGATCTCGATTTCGTATCCAAGCATTGGCACCACTATCAAGTAGAAGCTGTACACAATCTTTGTGACCACGCCAAGAAGCCGCGTGCAGTGGGGTGTCACCCAGTTTATTCTGAAAGGATGAATATGTATAACACACGATGAATTTCATCGAATGCGCATGTTATACTTTTAAAAATGGAAGCTCTTTCTGTTAGTCTTTACTCATCGCGGAAGAGAAGCAACAGTTACTTTAGAGTTCATACTTCGCGATCGGATCGCTGTGTCCGCACCATCTTAGCGATCCAATCGCGAAGTAAGACCGCTTTCTTATGTAATGTGGGAGAAAGGAAGCTCTTTGATTCTTCAAGAGCGTTTTGCAGTCGCGAAGAAAGACACGGGTAGATGACTTTAAGAAGGTCACAAGTTCGAGAAAAGTTAATTTGAGAGAACCAGACTGTTGAAAGTAAGGATTGGAAGGTGTACTTGGATGAAATCGGCTTAACACTCCTGCATATATAAAGTTCCAACTGAGCCCTCCGTGATTTGATAAGGTGCATATCATTAGTTACATATAATAGTAACCCATATCTCTACTATGTTTGTCTGACCGTCTGTTTTCCAGAATTCGGTTTTGCTATTTGAAGAGGTCGGAACAGGTATGGGATGGGTGGGGCATGGGACACGATGTACAGAGCCCACATAGGTAATGCTGAGCCCCGCCCACGGTGTGAGAAGTATTTGTCGGAAGTGAGCTGTACGAAGACGAAAATTCATGGTTCGCTTGCAGGACAGCCCAGAAGCCGAGAAAGAGGGAGGGGGGGGTGTAGGGCGCCAACACTGGATAGACGCACGAAATGAAGGTGCTTCAAAAATCCGTAATTCTGCCCCGAGACAGTTTGGTTATCGGAGAAGTCGTTGAAGATGGGATGTGTATAAGCTGAATTGAGTGTGCCTCTGGTGTGCTGCTATTCCGAAATTCATTATTGAGCTCTAAAGCAGTCCAGGAACCAGGACATGAGGACTAAGGTCAGCAAGGGGTCAGCGGGCGACGTGAGAGATGCATACATGCTGAGGGCGGGGCATGCGCCAAGAAGGGCGTGGCGAAAGTCAAAGCTTTCTCTAAAGAGCGGTAAAAATAGTCAACTGCAGGAGGTCAGCGAGTAAGATGAGAGAGTTCGACTTCGGTAGAGACCTAGGCTGCAGATTATTAGTGATTCAGAGTACGGGTTTTGTGCAGAGGAACTACTGTGAACGGTTAGAGGATCCCAAGGTTGAGCGGGTACATTGGAGTTCACTAAGTGACACCATGTCGAATGGAAACCAATAACCAGTCGAGCTCCTTCTGTGACATGGCTGTACCTGGGGGGGGGGGGCGGCTTATCCGCATGCTCTTTCCTCAAGTGAGTTGAAGACAAACACCGCGATTGATATTGTTAACAGCTATATTCAATTACAAAACTATTGTCGCTAAGTGACTCTCCAGGTAAGAAAAAAGCTAAAAAATCATTGGCACCCCGACAGCCTAGGAGTTCTCTGAACCTGCTTGTTTTATGCCAACATAACGATATGCCTGCCGCCATTTACTAACTAATCATTTCTTTGCGTCATCAAATGCTGATACCATCTACCCATGCCAGTACCAGTAAAAAAAACGAAAAACAAGGTGTAAAAACTGAACTTGTGACAGTGAATAGCCTTCAGATTATGGTGGGAGGGACAACTAGACAGAAGTCCCGTTAATTGTTGTGAAGCCTATGGTGGGAGGGACAACTAGACAGAAGTCAGAACTGCCACTACGGCCCTCCGTTACTTGTTGTGAAGCCACTAGAGGGGGACAGCATAAGTGACTGCAGAACAGACTGCTTGAACAAGGAAGGACGCCCGCGAATGGCTTGAAGGCGGAGACTGTCTTTGGAATATCCATTTGATACCGAGTATTCCTCTTTTCAGTACTTAGTGTACAGATGAGAAGAATGGTCGGTATAGAATGGGTAGTTCTTTAACAGAGGGAAGGAGTGCTTAGCGAAGCCGGGCCTTATGATATAAGGAGCGCCGGCGTCATCCAGCGATCCGATTGGTGTGATATAATAATAACAATAGTAGCACAAAATCATATAAGCATACTATGAAGAATAATATATAAGCATTAGAGTTATTAATGCTAGTGATGCGTTACTACCCGACTAGAAATTCTGGCGAATCGAGTTTTTTTTCCCGGGGAGAGATTTGGTTAGCTTTGAGACCAAGGCTAGTTCGACCTCATGAACATGAATATCATTGAACGGATGTGATATTCTTATTCAGGGGGCACAATATTTTAGCATAGAGTCGTCGCACGCAATGCCACCGCTCAGAAAAAATTTCGGTTTGAAGTCATGCTAAATTATCGGACGGCGGGCAGTAAGTGGTAAATCAGTTCTAGTGAGAGAGAGAGATGAGGAGAGGAGAGGAGAGGGGAGAGAGAGAGAGAGAGAGAGAGAGAGAGAGGAGAGAGAGAGAGAGGAGAGAGAGAGAGAGAGAGAGAGAGAGAGAGAGAGAGAGAGAGAGAGAGAAGCGCTCTTTCACTCATAAAATCGAGCTGAGAGCAATTTGTCAATGGGAGGAAGGAATACTTACTTGAGATGAAACAGTGACCCCTGGATTCTCGAGGAGGCATTTCACCACACCAAGATGACCACCATGACATGCCCAATACAGAGCTGTAGAACCTGATTTGTCGAGGCTATTTACCGATACCTGTATGCATAATATATTCAGATATTGCCAAGGCATGAAAGTCAACTACGACGAAAGCAATTCGAATCCGGGTTCACCTGGTTAGCTATACAATCCTTGAGGAAGATAACATTACCCCGTCGAGCTGCTTCGTGTAACGGATTCGGCAATTCTTCAACATTTTCGCTTACAACTGAAATGAGCAATCTTGCAATTTGTGACCAGGTAGGAATTCAAGGCCTGAGAAAAGAACAGAAATAGGAGATCGAGTACGGTATTGTGCGGGATTATACGGAAATTCTCATGGACCATAGATTACCACGGGGCAGTACTGTTTCAACCCAGCCCACCTGATAAGTCTCGCCTCAGGCGCCGTGCCTAGATCTCGAGAATAATGGGTTGGTAATTTTTAAAAGACCATTTAATGTGTGACTGTTCTGTCATTCAAAGGCACATTTAGCCTCAGTTTGTAGAGGCAACCGGTAATATGAGATTCATGGATGGAGGGGTCCAACATGCCGTTGTTGCGGCAAAAGGTACGCACCAGGAGGGGGGGGGGCATTAGTCCATGCGCACAGACTACTTACTAGTCTGCCTCCAAGCGCACTCATAGCAGCAGAAGCATGTTTTATGATCAACAACCTAGAGTTCACCGGATGCTTCGAGGTTTTCTCTAAATCCTTGGAGTTTAAGGGTTCAAACCTTTTTTCACGGACCTTTCGTCATAGACCACCATCATAGACCATCTCAAAACCCAAAACCGCCGCCTTCAAACGAAGTAGCAGCCACGCTAGCATCTGAGGGGTCTGGGGTGTATATGAAATCGCGGAATGTGCCTGTAAAGAATGTAATGTAAGCCGCCTGCGAATGAGACGCGGCATGCGGTTGTAAATTTCTTCGAACATGCTGTGAAAGACGTCTGGGCGCTTCTTCAGTATTTCGGAGCCTCAACCCACTATTGTTATTCTATTTCATCATAAGCAGCCAGGGTATGCTTTACCCATACACGCAGCCTAGATCTCCTCTCCTAGGCTTAGCCATAAATCCTCTCACTCCTAGCTTACATGGAAACCACAGTAC